AGTCCTGTCTCAAGTTTTTATTATGATTATGATTATTATTTCTTGCATTCCGATCGCATGTCTAATCAAGAGAATTCTGATATGCATAATATTCCTCAAAGGTTTCGTTGTAATTTAGATGTGTATTTTATTGACCACTCCAGAAAATACCATAACATACCATAATGCTCTTTGTTTGTCACCCCAAAATTTCGCATAAGCATTGTCTTCAGTTTCTCTTGAGAGTTAAAATGGCCCCAAGAGAAACTGAAAACAACGCTTATGCAAAATTTTGGGGTGATAAACAAAGAGCATTATGGTATGTTATGGTATTTCTGGAGTGGTCAATTCCGAACGCAGATTACTTTATGCAACATTGCCAACATTGTTACACTGTCTCGACATATACCTGCCTTCAACACATATTTTTCTGGCTCTTAAACCAAATCATTAGTCATGCTTTTAAACAGACACTACAAAAGCTATTTGAGATGATGCGTCATTAATATATCTCATTTAGTCATCGCTATCGTTTCTTTTTTCAAAAATACACTCCTGCTCGTTGAAAGATCACTGGAAGGTTAAATACATCATTTCGACAAACTCGGGTATTTTTCTTTATTTAATTTCTGACTCTGACCACACATTTTATCAGAGCACCAATAAATGTATTAGAAACACGTTCTTAAGTTAAACTTGATATTCTAAAGAAGTAATTTTCTGGCAAAATATCGCTGTTTCAAAGAAGTTCTTATATACCAAACGCCCTTGTAAAGGAATGAATTATAGAAACATTATTTAGAAATGCCTTACCCCAGTTTTACCACTTTTTTGTTTCACCTGGTAAAATTTAGTACTCAGGGCATAACTCCTTTCAAAAGTGATTCGTTTCTTGTTTTATCTGGTAAAATTTAGTTCTCAGGGCATAATTCCCTCCAAAAGTGATTCGTATATGGTTTTGTTTTCTGCGCACACATTATAAATTTTGACTAAACATTAAATCTTATTTTTGCCACACTAAGTGAGTAAAAATTTTAGTTTCTTTCGTTTCCTCCAAAATGCCTGGATCTGAATAGGTACATGCACGTAGCTTCTTTGTCCGTGTCAATGTGATAATTACCTGCTATGACGCTGGGTCGGGAGTCTGCTCATATGCGCATATAGCTTGCGTTCCCGCAAGCAAGCTCACCTTTGCGAATTCGGGACCGAAATTTTGGTGGTGGAGTCTCCATCCAGCGAGGAAAAGTGACTTTTTCTAGCTGGTTGGAGGCTCCGCCGCAAAAAGTCTCCCCAAATTCGCCCAAGCGAGGCTGCAGTTGCAGGCTAAGCCTGCATGGCAGGCGCAAAAAGGGAGGGGGAGGGGAGGGGAGAAAGAGAAAATCTCCCTTTTTCCCTTCCTCCCAAAGCTCTATCCTTTTAGGCACCAGGCTATGTTTAGAGGATATTGAATTTTTCACGGATAGTACGATCCTCAGATTTGACTGAGTTCTCACTTTAACTGAAAATACACCAATTGGGGAGAATTAGGCACTAACTTGCGATCAGGCGTTTTTTTTCTTCTTCTGATTCCAAACTCTTTACAACTTTTTTCGGATCGCTGCCACAAGCACCGCTTTGTTTCTTCTCCCGTCTCTATTAAGGATCTTTTATATAGACAGGACTGCAAGATTTTAAAGGCTATTACCTCTGTAGATAACCATCCGCTAGGCTCGTATTTACCACTAACAAAGGAGAATAAATATAATCTGCGTAAAAATCAGTGTGTCCTCCCCAAGGTTAATACCGAACGATTTATGAAATCTTATGTAAATAGCAATAATGACGTTAATTTTGTCGAAGCTCCAATCGTATATTCTGCATGACTATTAAAACTTTAAGGTCCTCAAGAAATGCCGAGGGAAGCTTGAGTGTTTGATCTTCGAAATGCTTATTATCAGAAACAAAAGACCTACTCAAGCGGACTCCATCCGGGCGAAACTTTTTATTTAATTGTTAGTTTGGGCCATTTTCACGCCTCAATTTAACTTTACATACTCCTGACACTTTCTTTTTTCTATTAATTAAATCATCGTTTCGAAAAAATAAACAAAGTTGACCGCGATTTCTTGCATTGGCAAATTTTATATTTTGATTGCACCCCGAAATACCACGTGATATTGCTTTTATCCCGTCAGTCCTTAAGCGCGTGCCACTAATAACCATATCATTAAATAACAAAGAGAATATTAAATTGTTATTTCATTTTTCAATTGATCTGATTGATACTCCATTCTGTATGATTCACCGAATATTAAGCCTCGAGTAACCAAATTGTAGCTGACTGTGATCTTCAGTAAGTCCGCTTTTGACTCCTTGCAGTGTCACAGACTCTACCCGAGTAGTACATTAATTCCCACTTCATTTCTCAAGGTAATTATTAAATAAAAGGTTCATCCATTAGAAAAACCTCGCACATGATTTCATTTCATTTACTAGCAGGTTCTAACCTCGCGAAGAAACACCTGTACAAAGACCTGTTTTCGCTTCTTATTACCCGCCTGGTAGCGTACATAACTTCATGCACTTGAAAAGACTAAAAAATTGATTTTGCCTTTTTAAATGTTGTGGACATCTTATGCAAAATAGGAAAATAATGGGCCATGAATTTTGCTACGTGTTTGTAATTTATGAATTGGAAGGACCACCTTTATACTAAACTCACTGACAGACCATGTCATATACAATTGTTTAATATATATAATATTATAAAAAATATACGTGATGTGATGCGTCTTAGTGTATAAAACAAAAACATTTGAAGAGAGAAAATAACGAATCGGTACCACATTTCTTGAGTATTAAAATCTAAATAAAATATATAAATTTCATTTGGTCGACCTGCTGTTGACAAGACTTTCATGACAATACTCCTTCGTAGTGTGAAAGATTCTCAAGCCGGCATGAGTTGTTTCGATGTCTTGATGCGAAAAGGTAAATTATCGGATACTTTACCTCTCCTTACCGCATTATTCAGGTTGTGCTAGTATCACTGTGCAAAAATCTGGACATTTCCGTGTACCAATTTATCAACGTTTACGGGAGGACCAGTTCTATGCTCCTATTGATCAGCTTTGTCGCGAGGTATACGGAAATTTCTATGTTCCTTTTGAACAGCTCGGTTTTTGGGAGGAACAAGGAAATGTCCATCTTCCTTTTGCAAAAATTTCCTCAAGTTACTCTTTTTTTTGACAGTGTGTTTAGTTGTTGGCAGTTATAAGTACTTTGGGGCGTTTGAGTACCAAAAAAGCACAAGGCTTTTGCCGTTTTGGCAAATAATTCCTATTTAACAGCAGAATTTACCCTATTTATTTTCTAAATTGCAAAAATAAAACATATTTCATAATTTCTACCATAAGACGTTGGCAATTATATCAACTTCGAGCTATCTCTTTACCACAATTGAAAATCAAAAGACAGTTCTTGCATAAGATTTCATCAGATCCTCCTTTTGCTTAGCCTAACGCTTTTATTGTTGTATTTAGCAATATTTCAGCAATCAAAGCAAAATTGTGACAAAATTCATTCTTCCAAATAAATGAGAAAAAAGACTTTTTTTTTGCCAAATTTCGTAGCCTTTTTGGCACAAAATCGCCGAAATACTCTTTTTTTTTCCAGAAATACTACTTTAGAATATAAGCTGAACTTAAGAACGTGTTCATGCCAGTGAAACACTGATACGAAACACTGAAATTCTAAAGGGACGCAGCATGCGCTTGGCTAAGTTTAAAAAAATCATAAAAGTCGTACCACTGGCCGTAAGTAAACGATCACCGCGACACACTTACACTTTACTTACAAGTACATGTAAACGATAGATGAAAATGAAGCTTCTGGTTACCTTTATGTCCTGCAGAATTTTGCCTCTTTCATGCATGTTCCAATCCAGTTTCCGCAAACTTTAAATATTGGACGATCAATTCAAATTCGACATTGTCGTTATGCAATGCTTATAATTTGTTATGTCTTTTCATATTTAGTTTTGGCCAAATTTGGTAAATGCCTTTTTGTTTTGTTTTCAAAGTACTAAAGAACGAATCATGTATACACCAAAACACACTTAATGAGTCTCCATATCTCTAGCTCATAGAAGACAAAGCTTAATTTTGCCACAGAATTAGTCAGGGAAGATAATAAAGGAAAAAAGCCAATCGTTATTATTAATACAAAAAATGAACAGAACTGCTGTATTTTTTTCCACATACTTTTCATACTTTTTCAAACTGATTAATAAACAAACGAGACGTGATTTATTAAGTCTAATAACGCTCGGCTACGCCTCTATAAACTTGCAAAAACTCTTTATTTTTCGCTTATCAAAGATCATTTAAAGACGACGTTAATGAAGTCGAATTTCATCGAAAACAGGGGCATTTCGCTTCATATATTCTATCACTACTTAAATAAGATTACGGTTTATCCGACACAGGGCGCTATCAGATCAGAGAGTGCATGTGGCTTGCTTTAATAATGTTGAGCTTGCACTGTTTTGAAGTCGCACAATTCTAACGATGGAAATGGACAGAACACATGAAATTAGAGATTCGGTAAAACGTGCGTCAACTTTCCCTAAACGATAACAGTCATATAAAAGTTGCCCTAATTAATAGAAAAAAGCTTTCCCAAACAATGCGATATTCAAATATATATTGGTAAAAACTTCCTTTCGAAAACCCTTACAAATCACAAGTTGCTATTTTACATTGCTTTCGAACGCTAAGTTCAGAGAGGAATTGATTGTCGAAAGGCCCTCCGGCATTTACCATAAGCCGTGAAGAAGTACAACAAATTAATATAAATTAATGAAAATGTATGGAAGTGCCCTGCTCTTAAACAACGAAATTTCAAACCCTACAAAACCATAACCATATTTATTACTCAATATTACTCAAATTAGTATAGTTAATAGCATGATTGGTAGTGATATTTGGCCTAAATACCACGAGTGATATTTCAAAATTGTTATACGAAATTTCACAAGCCGTTAGACTATAAGGAAAATCAGCGTGTACACCTAATTGAAGTATTACGACGTCCTATAGAAACGAAAAATGAATTAATTAGGCAAATAAAGTAATAGAGGAAAATGGCAGTACTGAAGTTTGACGTTTGGTTTTGTTTTGTATTTTATTTGTTTTAAAGACTTTTTCATTGTTCATTTTAATATGAACATACTCGCGCTTGGCCGAGTTCGATACTATACTATAACTTCTCAGAATTACAGGTCAATGATATATTGTTCCTATTAAGTTTTGATTTGGGTGAAATCGGGATTTTTTGGCGTTACTTTCATTGCCGTTGGCTGGAGGACCAAGAGAAGGGAAGCGCTTTAATGCCAGTTGAAAGATTATTTCTCCCGCCAGCTTTCATACAAGCTCAGATAATCGTGAAAGGAATACGCAGAAATGGAACAGCAACAATAGACTATGTAAGAAAGAAACCGTTGAGACATGGATGTGGCTGAGAGATCTTATAGAATAAGCTTCGTGAAGCACAGTGTTTTGCAACGACGCGTTAGTAAACTTTAAATAAACCTCCCTACGGCCGTTAAAATCAAAGCAACAGGCACTAAATGTTTTGAGAAACGAGTGCAATGAAATCATAATATTATGTTTGACTAACCTTTGCGATGCTTCATTGCGTTGAAATTGAATTTTTATTTTTATCTTTCGAACTTTTAAGGCTAGAGCGCCAGCAAATATTATTGGACTTGGATTTGCCACAAATTGACATCTGACACGAGATTCAGAGCAGAAAAGCTGTTTTAAAAGCGGGCGGAACGAACTTTTCGGGTCACGAGGCGGCCGAGCTAGCGACAAAATCGCGATAAGTCTTCGTGCCGCGAGCCAAATTTTAAATAAGACGAAGACTTCTTCGAAAGTCTAAAATATAACTTGAGAATGTAAACAACTTATCTCCGTCGGCGGTGTATGTGGTCCGGAAGGAAATCTTGTCGCGTCAATATGACAGTTCAGTTGTCTTTTTAAGAAAAAACAGATGATGCTCGCGTGTGCGAATAATCGGGACATTAGAGAGTTTTAGATCCGAGTTTACCGCGAACCTCTAACCGCTGGAGGTCACGTGACAAGTCTTTCGCGTCACGTTTGAGGTTTACGACATGCGTTTTTAACGTGGGGAGGTAGGTTTTCACGTAGGTCATTTACCTGAAAGCTTTTAGCTTATAATTCTTGTTTTATCTCACGTAATGATACAAAAATCTTGTGGAGCAAGTCTTTATCCATTAACATGGGCAGAAATTCGGGCGAAATGCTAAATTTGATAAATCCTATTGGATCTTGAAAATAAGTGCCATTCATGGCTGCTGATTCAAAATGGCGGCCGTAAATTCCGTGCAAGAAGAACTAATGTAAGAATTTACAGCTCTTTGCTACTAGATAACCCAGTGTTACCGTAAATTTCTTTTATTTCACTGATTGATATTTCTTCTACTTCTAATTGGAAAAATAAACCAGAATCCACTTCTTTAATCCACCGCCAATCTAAATCGAATTATGTGTGAACGTCGAACCGCAAACGGGTAACCGCAAACCGCGGTTAGAGGTTCGCGGTAAACTCCGATCTAAAACTCTCTATTGTCGCTTCAAAGTACTCAAGTAGATTAAGGCCTGGGTCATGATAGATTTCTCAGAATTTTAAAAGGGGTTGGTCTAATGTAAAGTATTTTCAAGACATCCCATGACTAATAACCTAAGGGCAATCCTAACCAAGAAATCTCACGATTTCATTTTAAAAATTGTTTATAACTGCATCACGTGACCGGCCAGGCCCTGTTTTATCGAGAAATTCGTTGAGTGGGAATTCCCACTACATAAAGAGCAAGCCGTTTCCTATTTATAGGTGTAAACAGTGGCTACAAATAGTCTTCTTGTAAAACGATCGGAATGAGACGATTTCAACAAATGTCTTTCTTATGACAAAAATCTTAGTTAGAGGAGGACTGGAACTAGTCAATGAACACCAACTGCACCTGCCAATTGTAATGCTTCGAACCATTCCAGCTGATTTCGTAGACACTTTTTAGGTTCAATGTTTTGATACAGAGAAACTGAAGATACACGTTTCGCAGTGGTGGGAATAGTTGGTTACAATTTTTGAACAATAGAGGGCGTGGTCGGTCACGTCACGAATTATTTGGGTTTTTTTTGTTTTCAAGTTTTTTTAGTTTACTTTGCTCTGCTATCTATAATTCCTAGTGCATGTCTTTAACAACGGTTTTTGGAAAATGTGCATTAAATATCTACTTGAGTAAGGTGCTTCTTTGGAAATCTGGGAGGACCAAAGAGCTCTGAATATGCTAATAGCTATAGATTGATAGCGAGATGGATCGATACCTTTCGCAACTGGTATGAATAGATACTTGCTTCGAACCTCAGTCGTGCTGGTATTCGTAAAAGAAAAATAATTGCATGTTTCGATATGCTCTTGGCAATAGATAGGATTAACTCTATTTACCGAATAGAAAGATCTTGTTTCGAAACTATCTATTGAAATTAACGATAAAAAAATGAGATAAAAGGACACGAAAGCGTTATCACCTTAATCGTCCTTAAGAAGAGAACAAACACGGATAAGAATTAGCGATCGTCTTTCTCAACCTTCAAAACTGCGGCGTTCTTAGCGTACGTATAAAAAATATGAGTCGCCATATTTCTTTAGTTAAGTCCACAAAGACTATGCACGCTAGACCACAGCCAGATCCTTGACATCTAGGTAACACTAAACACTGTAAAAATCCCACTGATTAAGGGCACGGGGTACGTTCAATATTTTCTTTTTGCTTTCGATGTTGCTATGTTGTCACCTTTAAAGTGAAACCTGGCACAATCAATCTCACGCTAATCTATCTATCTATCTATTTGGGCGCACCCGCACAGATTTGTGAAGTCTGTCCCATTGCCGTCTGTTGGTTATGACAGATGCAAGATCCTGCCTCTTAAGGCCCGTGTCACTCTCTAGTTGGTCAATGAATGTTGTTTCTGGGCTTCTCCTTAAGCATCTGCAGTGTTTGGTTCCCAAAAGAAGTGGGAAACAGTCTCATCCTAGCTTCTCCAACAGTGGCCACTAAACTGCAGCCGACGTACTTTGAGACTAAGTCTTGTTGAAATTGGAAACAGGTCCCTGTAGAGCTCCTTGTTAGATATATGATCGTTACAGCTTACGTTTAGAGCAGCACGAAGGATTTTTGTATGGCAGCCATCAAGGTGTTTTTCCAGTGCAGTGGTCAAAGTCAAATTCTCCGACCAATACAATAGAACAGACTCAACTGAAGCTGTAAAGAAACGTATCCTCAGATCTCTGCTTAGGCTGGATTTCCACACCACTGTTAGTTTGTTGCTAGCGGCCCATGCTTTTGCTTTTCGGATCTCGAGGTCTTTCGTCGTTTGATCTTTCCAGGAGCCAAGGTACTGGAAATCGTCCACTTGGCTCAGCTTTGCATAGTCCAGGGTAGTAAGGTCGCGCTGTCTTCTGAGGTTATATGCCATGTATTCGGTCCTGCTACTGTTTATGTGAGGACTAACTCTGGGGCAGCACATTCAACTCGCTCTGGCAGTGATTGGGCTTTATCCAAGTTATCTGAAATCAATGCAATATCGTCGGCAAAGACTGTGTCAGTGATCATAACTGAGGGGAAGCGACGTCTTCTTATCTCAGTCATTGAGGGTGAATCCAAGGTCTCCGTAGCCTTCAATTGCGGATCGTATTGTGTATTTTGTGCCTTTTTGAAGTCCACAAAGGTAAGAACGGGTGTTAGATTCTTGGCCTTTATGTCGTGACCAATCTTCTAAGAGTAAGTATCTGGGAAACTGTTGACCTGCCTGATCGGAAACCATTTTGATTTGTGCGCGGCAGGGGGTGAAAGTCAGGGGCGGATCTAGGATTTTTTTTAGGAGGGGGTGCACTCGTCTCTTGCTCTACTTCAACACCAATAAACCACATAGTTTTTTTTTGCAGAATACCAGTTGTATTAGAAAACCGCAGGTCATCTCAGGGGGGGGGAGTGCGCACCCCCTACACCATCCCCCTAGACCCGCCCTTGAAAGTGAGAGTGGATCCTGTCAAGAAGCATTCTGTGATAAAAGTGTTGACAAGCCTACACGACTCCTGCAGTTCGCGGATGAATAAATTCTAATAATGCCTTCATAGCTTAGCTTTAACTAGGATGTCCTTTAGGGATTTTACCTTACGGTATGAGATGATGGGGGGCTCCTTAAAGATTTCTCTCAGTTGCGGTTGGTTTTCTATAAGGTGCCATTTCCCCATAAGTGTGTCCTTTAGATTAGGCAAAGCCGGATGGTATTGTGTTACAAAGGGCAGTATTTTCTTAGGTGCGGTTTTGTTTTTCTGCGCTAGCGACATTTCTCTATCAGAGAATTTAATCTCTGAAAGGCGTTTTTCTACAATTCTAGCTGAGTAATCTCTATTCTGCAGGCGATTTTTGAATTACTCATGTTCTCCTCAAAAGTAAATTGAGAGGAATTTGTTCTCAGAAGCCTTAACGCTTCTCCTTTTATAAAGCCTTTCGTGACGCCTGGTGGGTGACACGAATAGAAATTCGTGTATTGAAAGGTTTCTGCAGCTTTGAAATGCGTTCGCACGTCAAGAATAGATTCCTTTTTGAATCTGTCACCTTTGTACACTTTCGTGTCTAAGAATGTGGTTTCTGTTTCTGAGATTTCAGCCGTGAATTTGATCGTTGGGAGAAAACTGTTTGCCTTTACAAGGAAATCCTCTATTTTGTGTCTGCTTGTGTTCCACATGGATATGACGTCATCTATGAATCTTTTCCAAAAAATTGGTTTTGTGGTGCTTTGTCTGAGTATTTCTGAGTATTACAGACCTTGACCGTTTTTCGGAACTAATCCAATAGCACGATAGTTCTGTGGTTCGCTGAGATCTCCCTTTGTGGGTATGGGGGTAATAATGCTCTTGGACCATAGCTCAGGTTTTCCGCCACCTTCAAGCATCATATTACACACGTCTAGCAACTGATCGTTGAGTGCACCACTTTTCCACACCTCAGCTGGGATTTCATCTATGCCAGGTGCCTTATTGTTGGCGAGAGAGTTGATCCTGATAGAGTTCTTCCATAGTGAAGACATTGGTGCTGATCGGGAGTGTATCCTGCACAATCTTACTATGTTCCTGTTTTCGGTTACTGGCTGGCCCAAGAGTGTAGCAAAATCAACCTTTCATTTATCCAGCCTCACTTCATCTGTTTCGCCTTTAAGACGATCTGTAGCTGACGAGGTTTTTCCCGTTATCTCATTGATCGTCTCCCAGGCTCTTTTTGCCTGATGCTGCACGGCAGCCTTTTCAATCTCGGCCAGATATTCTGCTTGTTCGTTGTCACATGCAGCTTGAAGTTCCTCCTTCGCCTGTTTTAGGTGGTTTGCGATGTTAGAGTTGGGGAGGCGCTTATTTTTCATATAGGCTTTCTTCAATTCGCTCCTTTTCTCCTTGACAAGTTCTTTCTCCCAGGGCACTCGTTTTTTTAACTCGTTTCCTCTTAGAAATGCTATTCTCAGCTGCATCCATGTGAGCGTTGATTATTGTAGTATACAGATCGTTCACAGTGAGTTTACACTCCAACTCCTATAGGGCCTCCCTTTGGGAATAGTTGGTGCTGATACAATACCAGTCGAAATTGGTTTGCTTACGCACATAATAAAATTAATATCGAATCTGAAGATGATAATTCTAGGTAACACTTGCAACTTGAAGCAATGGTCCCATTTGAATTGGTTTACGCTCAGCATGCGTAAAGAGCGCTTTCACATGACGTCACGGCAGCCATTTTATTGTTCCAAAACAATGAAACGGCGGCCATTTTGGTGTTCCAATAAATTTGCCTAGATGTGAGGGGGAAGTTTGGAGAGCACGAGAGAAGCGTAAGAGTTAGCAACTTTAGCTTCTTGAATGCTCTCTTAACTTCTCAAGTGCATCTATAACTCGATAAACGTACAGCTAAAAGCATGAACCAATTCTTTTATAACATAGTTTGACAAAAAAACTTCTCGTCTTATTGCAAGAGTAATTTTCCAGCCTCGGATTGTTCGGTTACAGCAAATGTGCATAATTTCTATCTGTTACTGGATAAGTAACTTGTTTTCGTAAGGATAAACAAACGTAAAAAGAGGGGGAACTTTTCCATGTTTCCCGACACAGAATTTTCTACAACTCGGGCTCTAATAATTTGCGAAACATTTTCACTGCTTTGTTATTGCTTCAGGTGGCTAAGCTCAATTCCAAGAATGCTATAAGTTCATCATTAACAAAAACCCGAGTTTAATAAACACAGCTGAACGCGTCATTGGTAGTCTTTACACTAGGCCGTAAGACTTAAGAGCTGCTAAGTTTTACTTAACCAAAGATACGTGTGAGAAAATCTCAAGTTATTTTACTTTGCATCTCATTAAAGTCGGAAAGTTGAAACGATTCAAGAAAACTTTCAAGTGATTTGAAAACCATCCTTAAAACCAACTTAGCGAACTTGCGGTTTCCTGAGCTTTGTAAAGGACTAATCATGTCAATCAATCTTAATTATATTGCGTTGAAAAGTAAAAAAGAAACCGCTGTGTGTGAAGCTTTATTTTATGTGAAGTATTTAAAATTTACTTGTGTTGATATATTTCTTACCTTATTTACACTCTAGTGTAAAGACTACCATTATATACAGCTATTACGAGAAAGGTTGTCGGAAAAAGTGCACGCGACAATCCCGAAAGGTATTGTGATTGTTTTTGGGTTCACTGTTCTTCGAAGAAATTTGAAAGAATGGCACGAGAGGCCGTGGACTTATGCTTGCGAGTGCTAAAGGAAAGCAACAAAAGTTGGTTCGACAGCTACAGTGTCAGGAACAGAGTATTGATCATATCCCATATTACCTTTCGGTATTGTCGCGTGCACATGTTTTGCGAACAACCTCTCTCTCGCATGGCCTTGCGTATATAGAGATCACGATCTTTACCATAGCGACTCATAGGACTTAAATAGGGAAAGCACGCGCGCTATGTTATATACTGGTTATATATCGTTTTTATCAACATTTATTCGACTTCTGGTGATAGCGTCTATTAACTTTCCGTTTGATAGATGGAAATAAGATCTGCAGCGAAGGTATTTTTGTGCATCTGTCTGTGCCTGTTTACGTTGATCTTGTGGTCCCCTGTCAAGTGTGCTCAACATTGCCGCTGGCTAAAGAAATGTGTCTGTCGTCCGTTTGGCAGCAAAGTTTGCGTTAAATGCAAGGGAATAAAGCAAATACCAAGAGGGTTGCCACCCACTACTTCAGTGCTGTAAGGGTTGTTGTTATTGTTGCTGTTGTTGTTGTTGTTCTTCTTTTTATCATTATTATTGTTACGAGTGATACGGGTAAAAGTAAATTATTATTTTACACTATTTAAAGCTTCGAGTTTAAACCTTAAAATAATTTGATCAAAAAGGGTTAGCTTTTTCATCTTTCTTCAGTAAAAATCGATCGCTCTTTTTGATGTACAATTAAATCATGTCAAAGAGAAATACAATGAACTATTACAGCTGATTCGAATTCTTAATTCGCGCCACAAACCAATCGATAAAATGGATTTACAAAGAGAGGTACGAATTGCTTTTACTGAAAAGAAAACAGCAACTTAATAACAGCCTGCAAACCACTAAACTGAAACTTATGTTATGTTAAGCCCCTTTCAAAAGTGGAATTTCTCATGAGTGCCGAACACCTATTTTAGTCGATGAAAGTAATTAAATACGCCAGTTGATTCAGACGTCGGATATGACAGTGCCGAATTTAAGGTAGCTCGATACAGTTTTTCAGGGTCAATACCTTCCAAGTTTGAGTGTAAACTACTTCGCCATAAACAAAGATTTCTAGAAATTGACACCCTATTGTTCAGGGGTATTGTCTGAAAGTTTCATTTTCACGTGAACAGCAGTAACAATGCATTTGACATATGCAAAAATGCTAGCTATTGTTGTACACGAAAATATGAAACTTGGAGACAATACCCGTGAATAATGAGAGGCTCTCACTTGTGAACACCAAATTTCTGACAAAATATTAGCGAATTGAAGCCCTTATTTTACTGCCTTATAATATATCAATAGTCTTGAAACTAAGAGGTCATATAAAAGGACAGTTAATCTCAAGATTCTTGAACTTTCTAAAAAATTTATCCAGCGGTTTAAAAATTATTCGCTAATTTGTTAAAGTAGTTAAATGTTTACATTACCGCTAACAAGAACGCCCCGATACCGATAATCAAATCCTTCTTTATAGCAATCGGCTGGAGGTATCTCCATGATCTTTCACACACGTTTTTAAAAAGATTGAAACTACTATGAGGTGAAATTGAATGTCAAAAACGCTTCGTTTAGTACAGATAACAGTCGAACATCAAGATTGTCCATTTTTTACCTTATTTCTAACCATAAAAACTTCTTCCCAAAATATCTGGATAACGCTCTTACAGATTTCGCTTAAACTTCACAAATATCGAGGCGGCTATTGTAGGAAAAAGCTCCGGTAAACGATTTTGGAAGAACAGTTCCCAGTGCCGAGAAATACTGCTGTAAGTAAAATAGGTAATGGCGTCATTTCGTCGCTATGACAACTCCGATGTCATTGCAACCCTGATCATAACAAATTTTCATCTTTATCTAATACAACTGTGGTGTTAATTTCTCTAAATCTTTGTTTATGGC